TCTCATCTTCGGAAGAGATGTTCCACTTAGGAATTCCTCATTTGTATAACTTTGAATGGTGGTTGTGGCAAGTCAGTCCTTCATTGTTGAAGCATTCTACCTTTTGAAGAAGGTAGCCAAGAAGCACCTGCTTGGCTGATATCTTTTCTGGTGATTAGACTGTTAGCATTTGACTCACTGACTAGAGTAACAGTAGCTCCTTGGTCCTTCTGATTTGGGTATTGTTTTAATGTATCTTGCTAATCAAGCTGTGATTTTACTAGAATGCATCTGTGAGCCTTTCTGAGCACTACAATGAGCTGTAGCAAAAGAAACATAAAAGATAAAACAAATGTATGAAGAAGTTAACAGAATATGGGATAAAACTGTTATTTTAATAAGATGCATACTTACGCAGCCATGTTGCTCTTTGGCTGACTCAGGTCACGGATAGCCAGCAGGAGACACAGAATAAAAGGAAGTACCTCATTACACCCCTCTTGAGCTTACCATGTGGTGATTCAGCAAAGGTCAGCCTTGATGCATCATGTCAACTTCCCCCTTTTCTCCCAAGTATACTTGTGATTTTTTTGGCTTTGTTGACCTCTGACTTTCATTGACGTTAGAACTATCAGCCTTGCATTGAGAAAATATAACATGAAAGTCTGAGAAACAAATTAGCAAAGAATTAAAGGATAGTTTAGAGGCCACAAGCATAAGCTTAAAATTATTTTTATTTTATTTATTTATTTATCAGTTTTTACCCTGCCCCCTCACAGCTAACACAGAGAAAAACATCAAAAAACCCTATACCCAACCAGACAATTATAATTGAACTTCCTCAATTAAAAAAATGGTGACAGGAATTTTAAAAAATAAACAACATAATAGACATGTTGTCAGAGGGAAAAGAGGATGCCAAATTTCACATAGCAAAGGGCAGTGTGAATGTTGACAACACCAATGGCAGCTGTCAGGATGATCTACAAGGTAACCTCTTTTCCTCAATGCTATTCACAGAGTGACACAATGCAAGGGAAAATCCCAAAAGCTGACTCCTTTTTCCATTGCTTAACCATTTTTCACCCAAACACAATGCAATTGTCAGGGCTGCTGTTGTGTGTGTGTGTGTGTGTGTGTGTTTTGTTTTTGTTTTTTGACAAATGTGAATGGTAGTGAGCAGAAGATGGTATTCTGTAGACTATCTTGACTGCTGCCATTGGTATTATCAACAGTCAGGCTGCCTTTTGCTATGTAAAGCTTGGCATCCTTTCACCTGCTGGTAATATGGGAATGATATTGTGCAGCCATATTGGGCCATTTACTGGCTTTTTGAAACATGGATACAGAAGCACAATATCCTGCATTCATGGTGAGCGGGGGGGGGGAAAGTTTTTTTGAAGAATTGGATTTCTTGACTTTTTAAAATGGGAGTTTAAATACACTACACGAACATTTCAACAGAAATTTCTTTCATACAGAATTATTAGTGCTAGAGAATTCTAAAAGATGAGCACATTATATGTACTATAGTTGCTGGGAGAAGACAGAAGCAAGAACAACTTGGATGTAGCTGTAGTCCCTCTGTGCCAAAATGCATTCAAGGACTTTTTTGGAGTTAATGAAATGGTGAAGCAAAGATATGAGTAGGCACAACACATACAATGGAGAAACATACACTCCCTTTAAATTCTTAAGCAAACTAATATTGCCATGCTGACTCCACAGAATGTAGACTAGAAAACTATGTTCTAGTTTCCGAACACTTTGAGTTAGGCAAGCTGAGAAAGAAAAGCTATATGGGACCCAAATATCTATGGACATCTGTGCATTTTTAGAACTGCCTTATGGAATTTTGAATTGCTCTGCTTCACAATATCTACTGCTGCATTCTTGTGCAGCAATAATTAGAATGCTCTCAACAATCCATTTCAAGCACACAACCAATAGGTATAAATAGGTCTTGAATGAGACCTGGAGAGAGATAGGTCATTAGCACCTACAAATTCAATAAATAGGTCCTAATTTAAGAAAAAGCCGTAACAGAAACACCAAAGCAGGGCTTGGGATAGCATTGGCTACATTCATTTGATGTGTTCTATTGTCCATTGTGAATACATTTCTGATTCTCCCTATATGAATGCCTCATTCATAGATGACAGTCCATTTTGAGCTAGAGCCATTTTTGAAGCTATAAATACTAATAATAAGCTGAATCTTTATTCAGACCAACAAAACCCCAATGAATAATTGATCATTATATTTAAAAAGGTCAGTGCTGAAAAGCTGATAAGTATGAGCAACGATGCAATGCATGCACATGGAGAATTCCTACAGACTTCAACAGAGGCTTTGCCTCCTCTTCCCTCTTTTCAGAAACAACAAAGTGTCTTGTGGCACCTTAAAAACTACAAAAGTCTTATTGGCCATCAGCTTTCAGACCCTGAAGCTGACTTCACCTGACGAAAGGAATCTGACCATGGCTGACATCTACAAAAGCTTAGGGCAAATGAAATGTGATAGCCTCTAAAGCTGACAGGAATTCGGATTGGTTTTGCTGCAGGGAACTAGCATGTCTACCTCCTGTCCAGCTTTCCCAGACTTGGCTGCTTCAGACAGTGTCAGTGGAACAAGAGGAATGGCACCTAAATGGAGGTCTGGTTGGGAATAATGAGCAGGCCTATATATGCACCTATGTACAGGGGAGACAGATGGGGAACGAGGGTTCAACTGTGCCCATGGAAATATTCTACATTTGGGAAGGGTCCTGCTCCCATGAATTTCATGGGTGGACTTGTTTTCTCCATAGAAAAATATCCTAACAATATTGTCATATTTTTTGGCCTCCCTAGATTAAACGGTCATAATTTGGAGATAACTCCACCCTAAAGAAAGGAAAAGAAAGATAATTAGTTGCACATATTTAATTTTAGCTGGTTTAAAGAGAATTTAAGTGACCACCTAAATAGTTTTCCTCTCCTTTTAATTAAATAAGTTTTTATCCATGTTGACTAATTATTTTTTTCTATACGAAAAATGCAACACTTCATATTGCATTTGGACTGCTTTGGACATCTTTGGAGTTGAAAGCACAACACATGAAGGGAACGAAAGCCGTTCCCAGGCTAATAAGTGCTCTCAGCCTAGGAAGCACAATATTCTTCTCCCCAAGGCTCAGAGAGCACACTATGTTCCTTCCAGCTTTGTGTTTTGGTCAATGGAATAAACTAGCTCAAGTTTATTATCTTGATGCAAAGCTGCCTCATTCATCTGACCCTGACATTAGCTGACAAAGAATATGAGAAGAATGGACGTTTTTGTGTTTGTTCCTCACTTTTTCATAGTAACCTAAGCAGGGATGGCCCAAGAGAATTCTATTTCCTAAGACAGAAAAAAAAGACACACACACATGTGTGTGTGCATACACATGGACATTCCTTGTACAGAAGGAGCCAACTATATTAGCAATTGAATCTTACTCTTGCACTGACAACAGGACACTATCTTCAAGGTCAGCAAGCTAATTCAGTGTTGCAAGATGAGGCTTAGAGTCTTTGTCCTCCAAGAGGAATGGCTGGTAACTGCTTCCTATCCCTTCCAATGTATGCCTCACTTCATACAATGATATTCCACATTTGTGCAGGGCAAGGTGATGGACAGGATCCTTGGTGAAGTGGCAGCCACCATGTGCAGTATGTTCTGGGCCCTTGTCCTCCCTGAGTTATAAAACCAGTCGGAGGGTTTAAGTGGGTAAGAAGAGTGGTGAATGTCTTCTTGCAGCAAAACTGGGTTCCAGCAAGCCAAATGGGTCCAGTAGTAAAACACCTGTTGGAAAATTCCTCCTTAAAATCACACTATACAATACAATTGCTAGTCAGTCTCCAATATTCCATTTCTGAGCATGGTACTGTGCAGGTGATCACGGAACAAAGAAAGGCTAATGATGTGGGTGATCACAGAACAATAGGAAAGCAGTTAGTCTTAGAGAAAGTACAAAGAGTTGACTAGCAGATGTCCGAGCCAGCGGATCCTCAAGTCAATGCCTTGAGAATGCTTTTTATTAATTTAGCAGGATTACATAGAATGTTGTGAGAATTCAGAAAGGATACTAGTTACCTAATCGCCACTAGGATTGGCTGGAGCTAATGCTCTAACTCTAAGCAGAAAGGCAGAATAAGAGGTTACCCCACCCGCCAGGAGGTGCTGCTCTCTGCCAGGAGTGTTTGCATGTCACTGTAACAGATAACAGCTAACAGCCTTGAGCAGGAGCTTCCCACAGTACTGGAGTATGTAGTGATCTCCTACTCTACAGCTTCCTCAGTGAGATGGATTATTCAGTTTCAATCAACAGAGACAGTTTTGGCTGCCTTGTAGGACCTGTATAAGGAACTGGACACAGCAACTATGTCTTTGTTGCTTCTGCTGGATCTCTTGATTGCTTTCAACTGTCAACGGTGGTATTTTTCTGTGCTGTCTCTTTGTGATAGGATTTGAACACACTGGTTAACAGATATGTCAATCTTGCTTGGAGAAGCAAGCTCAGGAAGTGGTCCTTGATGAATCATGTTCAACACCTTGGCCATTGGCCTATGGGATCTCCTAAGGTTATGGCCCCCAATAATATTCATCATGTACATCAAATTGCTGGGAATGGTTGTCCAAAGTCTTGGAGTTCAGTGTCAATAGTAGATTGATATCCAACTCTACCTCTTATTTCCATCAAATTCCAAAGGAAGCTGTTTCAGTTCCCTGTACTTTGCCTATCCCTACTCTAGAGTAGGCAAAAAAAGATTCAGAGCTGTACAGTACCTCCTTAACTTTGCATCACCCTTTCACTCCAGAGGTAAAACACACAGAGTGTGGAGAAGCTATCTTTTAGGAAACATATCACCATTACTAACATTCTTGTTGCGAAATCACAGACAATCTGATTTAGTTTACTATATTTATTTTAAATATATACTCCCCATTTGAGAAAAGAGCATTTCATCTGCAGAGGGAGGGATATATTACAGGTTGCCACAAAATATAACAATAGAATCTTATACATAGTGATGAAACACAGAAATCATCTAAATGACAGAGACTATAGATTAATGCTTAAATTTGACTGCATGTAAACTCTTCTCCCTCTTTTTTTTTGAAAAGTCTTCTGGTATTTCCTTCCCCATCATTCCTCTAAAAAAGAAGAAAAGTAATACAGCCGTGAACCATGATTGAAATTCATAAGGAAGACGAGTGAGATTCAAGTTGATATACCAAATAGGAAAAGAAAAAGCTTAATTCTTTCCTTTCTTCTGCCCCTGTGGCTCACTTTTAAATAATGAGCCTCATTTCCTTCATCTGATAAGCGCAGAATACTCTTAGATAATGGAAAATACGGTAAGTACTCAGGAGGCGAAAGAAACAGAATGTGTCAATGTATGCCCCCGACAATTTTATGGAAAGGAGATTATACTCCCCCCCTACTTGGCATTTTAAAAATCTATTCCTGGACACAGTTCCCTGAAGGTGAGAATTACATTTGGCAAGTTCACTTCGGAGAAATGTGGAAATTTTGCACTCTGCTTCTTCATATTAGTTGTTTTGTTCAACTACATCACACGACGCAGCCTGACTCTGCAGTTTCTTTAGCTTCTTACACCAATGCTAAAGCTTATGACTACAGTTACCTGATGAATTCCCACATCAGAATGCTTCAGAACAACTTGCTTTGTTACCTTCCAGGGAGGGGAGAGAAAATATAGTTTCCAGCCTGCAATTGTAAATATCTGCAACTTATACCTTCAGAAAGAGATGCTATGCAGTTAGAGGTCTGCAACTTTGGAAAATAAATATCCGAGTACCAGGCAGAACCTGGAGTTGGGGACAGATTAAGACTTAAATGTTGCATAAATCCAGCACTGCTTGGGGTGTTTCCAGGCAATGATTTCACTGTGCAATTGCCTTGACTCATTCCGTCACTGTTGTGTCCCATCTGTGACCCTATAGCATTTTCCCCAACACTTCTCCTGCGTGGGGAGGGAAAGACAGGAGATCCACACAGTGCTTTTAATAGTTACCACCTGGGTTGCCATATACGATGACCATCTGGGGGTAAGAGGATGGTACGAGCCCACACTGGAGCACTCACTAGGAAGTATTGTTGGAGTTTTTGTAAGCTCACATGCTGCTAGTAGTTTTTTTTTTTACTGGGAGGGAACTTTCTGGGCTGGTGTGGCTGTCAATCATCCAGCACTAACCAATTGCTGATTCCTGCCTCTGAATTCAAAGAGAGCCCCGCCTCTGTGCTGAGTATTTCTTTTCCCTCCCTTTAATTTGTTGGAAGTCAGTAAGGTTTTTTTTTTCCTATTGATCTGTTCACAACTGTAAGTAATTTTAAAAAATTGTTCTTTCTCCCATAAATGTCTCAGAGCGAGTTAATGAGACCTGAAGTGCCAGTTAATAAGAAAGGGGAGGACTGTCTGGGAAACTTGAAGCTATTATTATCTGTGAGTCTCTGTACTTCTATCGGTTAAGCACAGAAAATTTTACCAGAAATTCAAAACACTGCAAGAAGTATTGCATATACATAGGTGTTCCAGAGAGCTGAACATCAGCACTGCAAGGTAGATAGGTTACCACCATTTCAGCTTCTGAAAACAGACTTGCGTAGAATGGAAGGGCAGATGAATAAAACTTGGCTAAATGGATAACCTAGAAAAAAGGGTGAAGCCCATTTCTGATGGTCAGGCAGGCAGCAAAACTATTTCTTGATATCATATAAAAATCAAAGAAATAGTGGGTCCAGGTTATGAAACCATCTCAAAAGGAATTATCCTCCTCCAGTGCTGCTCATTCTGAGATTTGTCTTCCTTCCTGGCGAACCAGAGAAGCATAGCAAGTCCTTGAGACCCCAACCGGGAGCCCCGACACCTCTAGCAGCGGAAAGAGAGAAGGAACCATCTACGTATATGGAAGCAACCCTGGAGAGGGAACACAGAGCAGCATGTTCAGTGGTAAAGGCAGAGGGTCAAACATAGTATTTTTCCTGAACAGCAAGGTACATTTTAACACTTAGCTCAAGGGGACAATAGAGTATGACCCACAATGGTTCACTATACAAATGTCATCAGGAAACTGATTATCCTGTAGCTACAAAGCAATGTGGCATAGCAGACTGCAGCTGCTGAATTTTTGTCTTTCACACAACTAATAAAGGTACTGGAGCTCTGTCCTCTATACAATGTGGCAACCCTACCCCCTCACCCTGGTGCACTTTTGAAGGGAGCTGAAGAGTGCAGGATGTGAGCCTTGGGTCCCCTGCTTATATTACATGTAGCATTTATTGACTGTGATTCAGAATTATGTTCAGAAATGTCTGTTCCACTGGTCGCAGAGCTGCTGCAGTGGGGATGCTTTGCCTGCCTGCCTGGAGATTGGCATCACAGTGTGATGATGCCACTGTCTTGGAGGGGGGGAGGGACAGAGCCTTCAAGAGCCACGTCCCTCTCACCCAGCCTCTTCTTCAATTGGCCGAGCAACCCTCCCACCCATCCTTAAAGTAAGAATGGGATTAGCTTGTTGCCTAAGAGCCAGATGGGAATTTTTGGCCAGAATCCCTAATTGGCTTTGAAGGAAGCAGGTGTGTTTTTGCAGATCCCATTCTTACTGCTGGGGTGTGGTCCTTTAATTAAGTTAAGTAAGATGAATTAATGGATAGTTAAGGCCATGTTTTCAGTCACAGCGGTGGGTAGTGTGAGGGGAAGAGTTTTTATGAGCTCCTGGAGGACACATGGTACGAAAAACATCTCCCTGTTTTATTGAGCCAGCAGGGCTCCAAGGACAGGTGGCCTTTTATTAAAGGGACATCCCGGGCAGCAGTTACCCTAGGGCAGTGGTGGCAAACCTTTTTCAGCTCAAGTGCCCAAAATGATGGGGGGAAGAAACCAGTGGCTGCCATGCCAGCCCCGTGCCACCCAGAAGACCAGCACCAGAACCGGAAGTGGCAGTTTCAGGGGGAATTCATGGTGACGGACCCAGAACAGGAAGTGAAAGGGGGGAAACATGGCGACAGACCCAGAACAGGAAGAGAAAGGGGGGAAACATGGCGACAGACCCAGAACAGGAAGAGAAAGGGGGGAAACATGGCGACAGACCCAGAACAGGAAGAGAAAGGGGGGAAACATGGCGACAGACCCAGAACAGGAAGAGAAAGGGGGGAAACATGGCGACAGACCCAGAACAGGAAGTGAAAGGGGGAAAAACATGGTGCCGGACCCAGAACAGGAAGTGAAAGAGGAGGAAAACATGGCGACAGATCCACAACAGGAAGAGGAAGGGGGAAAACATGGCGACAGACCCAGAAGAGGAAGGGGGAAAACAAGGCGATGGACCCAGAACAGGAAGAGGATCCTGGGAATCTTGGCTGCAGCCACATCAAGACATTTCTTTCCACAAGGGCAGGTGGGTGGACCACTCACTCGCATGCCAGAAGAAAAGGCTTCATGTGCCAGGTGGTTCGCCATCACTGACCTAGGGTCATGAGGCTCAGTGGCCTGAGGCAGTGGGGGTACTCCTATCATGAGGCACCTGAATACCTGCTGGATGGAAGACAGCATAATTCAGAAATAGAAATTTGTCCTGCTTTAGAATCCGGAGGTAAAAGCTACACTGTATTTGGATAAATATTGCACTATGTTAGGCCCCCTTGTAGATGGGGGATTTAGTTTAAATACAGTGGTGCCTAACTTAGTGATGTTAATCTCTGCAGAAAAGAATCGCTTCTAAGCAATAACATCGCTAAGCGAAAAGAAAAAGCCCATAGAAACGCATTAAAACGCAATTAATGCATTCCTATGGGCTAAAAACTCCCCTTTAAGCGAAAATCCTCCAGAGGGGCGGCCATTTTCGGTGCCTCTTAAGCGAGCAAACACAGCAGGCAGCCATTTTGTTCACCCGGTGGCCATTTTGAAACCGCCGATCAGCTGGCCAAAAATGGGGGTTTTGCAATGATCGCTTCCCTGCGATTATCGCAAAGCGAAATTTCCCCATAGGGACCATCGCAAAGCGATCGCTTTTGTGATGGCAAAAAGTTCATCACAAAGCGATTTCATTGCTATACGGAGTGATCGCTATGCGAGGCACCACTGTAGTTAATAAAGTTGTGGCCCAAGTTTTAACCAAACAACCTATGTCATCTCTTTATTTCTGGGCTGGGTGGGCAAAGTAAATTCACTTACTCCCTGGAGGATGGCTAAGGGGGAGTTTGGTAGACTTGCTAGAGGAACAGAAGAAATTGTGTGCCTCTTCCTTTTACAACAGCTTGACTTGGAAATGTCAGAAGGTGAAACTTTTGTTGCCCCTAGGTACACCAATTGCTACTCTCACTGCAGCTGAAGATGCAGAAATGGGAGCCATTTAAAGAGTCTGCAACAGGCATCTAAAAGTAGCACTGTGCTGGCATGCCAAATTAACCTCATCTACCACAGGATGTGAAATGGCAGGTTGTGCACTATCAATATTTATGCATTTATGTGTCAAGAGTATGTAGTCTCTACAAACTCCTGGATAATTCTTTTCTAGAGTGCAACTAGAGGCTTTATAAAGAATCAAGGAGATGAACACTCCTGTTCACTGTAGGAAATTCTGAGTTATAGCAAACCAGAGATGGCTGTCAGGCTCTGCTTCAAGACCTCCAGTGAGGAAGAGCCCACAATATGTTGCTGTTTAAGAGAAAGATGGCTCCCTCTGTTCCACAGAAAGATAAAATATTTAATATTGGTGAGAGAATGGAGAAGAGGCCATCTGTCTATCTCCCAAACCCTTGTTCCTGGGCTCCAGCATTTGCTTCCTTAAGTGGCCCTCTCATTTTGCCTAATGCTAAGGTAAGCTTTGGGGCAGAAGCTGGACATGCTACCTTTTTGGGATCAGAGCTCTTAGACTCCGATGCTGGCTGAGCAATTCTGGGAGCTGTGTTCCAAAACTGTAACACTTCCTTGCTCTGCCAGAGGAGAGCGTGCCATCTTCTATTCTCCCAAAATCTAACTAAAATCCAGCATCCTGTAACTTGTTATCCATTTGATCTACTCCTCCCTTCCGGGGCAGAAGAGAAAGAGCCTTTGCTTTTTTCTGTAGGACAGCCTTCAGGTATTTAAAAAGCAATGTCATGTTCTGCCACAGTGTTCTTGTCTCTTGGTATGCTCTTGACAGGATGCTCTTGATAGCAGACATTTTTAAAAGATATCCCCAAGAGATAAACAGGGATAGTGTGCCCTAGAGACAGGTAATACATGGTCTGTCCCTAGATATACAGAGATATATATCACATTCATAGGTTAAAAAATGGAATATATATATCACTTTATTCATAGGTAAAAAATGAGTCAACAAGTAGAATTCCAGGTTCAGTAGAGGGTTAAAAACTAAACAACCATTTTATATGTATGTGCTTCAAACTGGCCTATTTTACTCACCTGTAGTGAGTCCTAACCTTGCATCAGACTGAGGAAAAAGAAGACAGGCAATGGATTAGTCATCCCACCATGGAAGAAAGGAAATCAAACTGATTCAGCACATAGCAACAATGATATGCATCATGGCAAAATATTCTGTTAAAATTGGACTAAATCTCCAAACCCAATTCTAAATCAAAATTTCACTCTTTAATGCTATTTCTCCAAAAAGTTCTTGGGGCTTATCACACTGTTTCCTATGCCTGAGCCTCCCTCCCCCCCCCCACCTGTTGCTCTTGATGCACCATAAAGCTTAGCTAATCTAACCTTTCCAGATATTAGTAGCTGGGCAATCAACTTTCTTCCACACAAGGAGATGTGTGTTTGGCCTGCAGCTATTCTTTGCTAAATTTTGAAGAGAGGACTTAAGAGTGAAAGATGTTGTGTTTAATGAGAAAGGAAACCAAAGTTCACCCACCTCACTTCATTGCTGTTGTAATTTTTCACAGATTTTTAACAAAAGGATTTTTAAAAAAACCCTCAAATGCAAAGAAATTGGGCACATGTGATGGCCCAGACAGGTAGAAACAGACAAAAGAGAAAGGGAGGCCACAGAGATGCTGGACCTTTGCATTTATGAAAAAAATTCTTTCAAGTATCTGTGAGCCTTTGTGAGCAACTGTCAGAAATGCTTACCAAAAACTTCACGCTTCTGTGCAGACCTGAACCCAAATACACAGAACTTAATGCTTTTTACTGTTGATTTAGGACCTCGATATTTGGCAGAACGCCTGCTCCCACCAAGATCTACCTGGATCACCCGTGCGAGCCAGGAGGTGAGGCTGAGGAGCCTGACGCCGAGAGAGGCCCAGAAGGAAAAGACACGAAACCAGGCCTTCTTGGCGGTGGCTCCTCACCTCTGGAATAATCTCCTTCCTGAGATTCGCACAGTCCCCACTTTGGGCACCTTTAAAAGGCAACTAAAAACATGGCTATATATTCAGGCCTTCCCTCCAGCTAACACTTGATTTTCTCTTGTTCTCCTTTATTTATTTTAGTTTTATTTTTCTATTGTGTATGTTATAATTATGATTTCTGTAACTCTTTGTATTATTTTACTGTTTTCACTGGAAGCCACCTAGAGTGGCCTTTTAGGCCAGATGGGTGGGGTATAAATAAATAAATAAATAAATAAATAAATAAATAAATAAATAAATGAATGAATGAATGAATGAATGAATGAATGAATGAATGAATGAATGAATAATCAATCAATCAATCAATCAATCAATCAATCAATCAATCAATCAATCAATCAATAAATGATTGTCGGCCTACTCATCTCTCCCTCAGACCAATGGGCTGATCCAATAGGAAGCAGCTTCATATTCTCAAAGAACTGTCTAGTATAATAAAACTGGTTGCAGGGCAATTCTGATTATAGGCAGAGTGAGGTAGCCACCAGGAAGTGATGCTGGAGGGAGAAAGTGAAGTGTTGTAAGGCAAAGCTGGGTGTAACAGATGGTATCACCTAAGCTGTTCTGCTCCCCTTAGGTGCAACAAAAATTCCCCTCAGTAATGTCAAAGTAAGATTACTCTGTACATTGATGTCAAGTTGTCTGATCAGCAACAAGAATTGTGGCTGGAATGCCAGGAGAAGACACTTTTAAGCATCAGAGGTGGAACAGAGTGAAAACTGTATCTTCTAGATTCAGCCCAAGGCTATAACTCTACTATGACCACAGCTCTATATAAATTGTCCGGCTACCAGGGAAGATTCATCATTGGTATTGCAGGGCTGCCTGGAGCATTCTTTGGCCTTCAGTGCTTAGACATGGTATGGATCATCTCACCTTCCTGTCACAGGCTACAAACTCAGAGGCAGAGATAAATTGTTGCTCCATGCATTTTCTCCATATATTATTCTCAATCTAATTTTATTTTACTTTATTATATTTGTATGCCCTGTTCCTGCCTGCTTGGGTTGTTTCAAAATCATGAGCTTGCTGCCTCATGGATCCTAGCATATGACAGTCTTCAACAAAGAACATCTCAACATCAAAGACAAAAGGAAGCTTAGAAAGTACTGCCTGTAAGTATTGTTATTTGGCCAAAATGTTCCTTTTGTTCCACTTGATGTCAGATTAATACTGAACCTGCATATTTTCAGCACATCACATTTGCAGGATTTTAATGACAGAAGAATATGAAAGTTCCTTCTGTTCTTCTTTTTCTCAGGAAACAATTATTTATGACTGTTTGATTTGCAACCGCTATATTAGTGGAAGTTAAATAACACTGAGCTCTTCTGGCCAGTCATATTATTATTACAAGAGTTGCTTTGTTTTCTTTCAATACCAATGCAGTCATTTTCACTGTACTCTTCTGCTGTGATAATTGTGCCGGCACAGCAAATCAACATTCTATAAGGCAATTCTAAAAATGGAGATAGACCAAACAAAAATTATAACTTTAAAACTGGACTTCATACCAGCACCAAATTTGGCACAGATAGTCTGTTCTTCCTCTGTGCCAAATTTGGGGGGAGGGTTTTCAATTTATGAATTTTTAAAAAATGTATAAAAGGATGCCAAGCTTTACATATCAAAGGACAGCCTGAATGTTGATAACACCAATGGCAGCCATCAAGATGGTCTACAGCAGGGGTGGGCAATTAATTTCTATAGAGGGGGCCACATGAAAAATCTGAACTGTGTTTGGGGGCCGAACCAACGTTACTTTAAAATAAAATGAAACAGTGGTGTTATGATTGTTTTTATTTTAAACTTGCTAATCTTCACAAATACTAAAGAGATTTTTTGCGGTATGTTAAAGATTGGTCAACTTTAGACAAAAAGCTATAAATGGTTTTGATGTTCAAAACTGTCTGCGGGCCAGACAGGAGTAGCTCACGGACCATATATAGCCCTCAGGCTGCACTTTGCCCAGATCTGGTCTACAGAATACCCATTTGTGCTCACTACCATTCACACTTCTCAAACAACAGCTCAGTGAATTGCATCGTGCTTGGGGAGAAGTGGTTAACTGATTCAAAAAAGGAGTCAGCTTCTGGGATTTTCCCTTGCTTGGCGACACTTTCTGAAAGGCAGTGAGTTTTTCCGAAAAATTGGATAATCTCTTGGAGGATACGTAGTTTTGTGAGCAAGAGCATTTCAGCAGGTATTGCTCACATTAAAATCCACACTCACTTAAATTTCCTCTTCCACAGAACTATTAAAATATAAAAAAGACTGAATTAAAATAAAATAAAAAGCAGCCAGGAGAAAATGCTGCTGGCTGCACCCCGAAGAGGGAAATAGAGGTACACCACTATTAAAATATAGGATCCTGGTCTAATTGCAACCTTGTTTGAGCCATGCAGGACCTTAGTATTAGTTACCATTATTATACTATATTAATTTCTGATAGCTGCCAAAAATGTGGCCTTATCATCTTGCTTACAACTGCCAGTTGAAAATACTCCAAATTGAGTAACTGATACTGTTAATGCACACCCTCTAACAATGGATAGAAGAAGTGAAGTGTGTTTATTTTATTTTTAATTATGCAAAGAGAGTGTTCAGAGTAATGGTCTTCAAACAGTAGGTGGTAGCTGACTCACGATAGTAGTCGGTCTGCAATTCAGGTGCATCTGGATGGAGGGCAACTATCAAAAGCCACTGCATGCCTATTCCACCTCTTTATCTGAAGTAGATTGTTCCTGATCAATTATCAACATGGGGAGCAAGGGGCACCACCAGGGCCCTTTCCAAATGATCCTAAGGACTATGACACCTCACAGTGAAGGTGTCTTTCCATTAGCAACCAAGGTGCATCTTCCATCATCATTCTTTTTTTTCATAACAGATGGCCCAGTTTATGGTCAGAGAAACTTCCAGTATAGCTGGCATTTCCCCTGCTTTCCAGAAGGAGTGGTGCTGATGTAGGTAGGGGGATCAAAGAAAAAAAAAAACAGGACAACCTTCAGTGGTTGTTTTGAAGGGGAAATCTCAGCAGGTGCAGCTTTTAATGCAAGCACCACCTGCTGAAATGGCCTTCACCGCACAAGATGGTGATGCAACCAGATATATTCTGTGCCACTCCCCACCCCATGTGTGTAATCCTTTGATATGAACCTGTGTTGTCTGATATTTGCTTTTTGGAGATTCTGGTAATTGACTTTACTTTATCTTGATTTTGATTACTTTTAAAAACGGTTTCTTATAATCAGCTCAGAACTTCACAGCCAGGAATTGCAAAGAAAAATATACAAAGATGGCTCCCACTTTGGTTCCCAAAGATGGTTCCCGGGCAGAACTTCAGCTGGAGCTGGGATTGGAAAGGGGAGGAAGTGATTTCTGAAAACAGCATTTGTTCAGCTTTACAACAATCTGAGCAGCTAAAGGAGCTCTCTGCTAATGTGCATGCAATTAATGTCTCAATTCAACAGCTGCAAGACTTGTTCAACTCAATCAGCAGTCACGTCCTGTAGACAGGGGCTAAAGCAGTTGATCTGGAGGACTGAGAGGCTGCCTATATCTGGAAGTGTTTTACAGAACCTTATACACATTTTTATCTTTCGAAAACATTATAATTATACTTCTAATTCTACTGTCTTATGTTTCTTTGTGTTCTGGTTTCAACCAATAAAATGTTTGAGGGGGAATATTTGCAGGAGGTCTATCCCATCTTTCATTGAGAACAGGAAGAAGATACATCAACAGCTATTCCCATGTAATCGTTGGTATTGCAACAGTACTGAAATAGTGCAGAAAGGATGTGTAGCAGCAATTCCCTTTTAACAGTACCTTCAACACAGTGGACCCATTAGCAGGACACTTTTAACCCATAGCAGGACACTTTTAAATCCATTTTCTTTCAGTGTGTTTAAATTTCTCACCTTGAAATCAACAGACTCTTTCATCTGCTTGGGTTTGTGGGACTGGTGTATGAGAATGTTACTTTTCGTTCAAGCGCAACAATTTGCGAACATCGCAAAACAATTATTCTCATCTGGTGCAGACAATTTCTGATAATAGGCTCTCAGCAGGAGGTTTTCTGTATTCCTAATTGTTCTGTGGAACAAAAAGGGCCAGATTTACTACCATTATATATGGTTCAGAAAAAAAGAGCAGCACAAACACTCCTTAGCAGTCAATACCTTTCAAGATGAGTTCTGAATGGGAAAACAAATAGCAATAATGAATTTGATTTGTAGTTTAATCTTCACATTAAATCATTTAATTAACTTTTGTTAAGAGTACTGAATTAAAGGTGGAGCACCTGTTGGAAGGTGTTCGCTCACTTTCTTTCTTTCTTTTTCTTTTTCTTTCTTTTTCTTTTTCTCTCTCGTCATACTGACCATTGATTAGCCTTCTGGTTACATAGAAAATGATCAGCAAATATTAGTCTGCATGCATCACTTTCCTTAAATCTGTGTCTCTAAATTCCACTATGGAAAGCTTAACTGTCAATCTTCATTTTCACCTTGGAAGAAAGGCAGAATTTAGGTGAATGGGGGGGGGGTAACTATTAATCACATTGTTTTACTTAAAAGTCAAGGTGGTAGTGGGGAATTTAAATGGCACTCACTATGAAATCTAAATTCAGTTGCTTTACATCTGTTAATTACTTTGAGGGCTCACAAAGCAGAAAAGTGGCATGTAAAATGTTTCCATGAATTAATAAATAATACACAGGAAGAGGGATGGTTAATCTAGACAACAAGAGGAAATTCAATATATCGGGAAATCAATATTTAATAGACATCCTAGAGATAAAATCTGACCTGTTGAATTTATTTGATTCAGGTTTGCGGACCAAGACTATCATTAGGCAGAGAGAACATACTGCCTTGGGCAATTGATTCTGGATGTCATGAAAAGGCAATAAATAGTTATTTAATTTACTGTTGCATTTTTAATGGCAGGGAAGCAGAGATGTGGGATTTTTTGACTTGGGTAGCATAAGAACTCAGGTACAATTTGGACGGAGCAGACAACACTATTTGTTGTTCTGCCTCAGGAGGAGAACATCTTGAGGTGACCCTAAAATCATTCATCTTCTTTTCTTAATCTTTGGTGAGACTGAAGTATCCATGAACTTGATTTGTGAACCAGGAAAACCCTTACTTGTCTCTTGCGTCCCCCATGTACTGGCCATTTTCCTTCAAACAAGTCTCTTTTTTTCCCGCCCCCTTTCCGCCACTCTTTTCCTGAAGTCTACCTGACAAGGTTGCCATATGGGTAAATTAGTTAATGTAAGTGAAACACACTACACATTTAGATTAATATTCTGTTTAAAACATAGTATGAATGATTGTGATTGTCAGCGTTTCTTAGCGCAAATCGCGGTTTTAGCAAAGTGATTCGCAGTCCAGGCAGTCCAGAAATAACTCACACACAGTCCAGCAATTTCCTTCAGCAACGTGTATTTACAGCATTCTGGCAGCATAACGTGTAGAAATGATCTTCAAGCAGGAAGATACAACTGACTGTACAATTCACACATATATACATATACAGGACCAATCAGATCACACATTGCATCATCCCTGAGTTGCATCAGCACTGCTGAGTCATCCTGACTCAGTTTTAACACATCTGATCATTATGGATTCTCATTAATACACTCCATTCTGCTCAGGCCTGTAATTTTCCTTGACAGTGATGGTCACCTCCAGGCTGTAGTAGCTATTCCCAAATGTCTTTCATTAGACCTCAAAAGAAGAAAGATTAACCAGTGCGAGTATAATTTCTGGTCTGAAATATTGTAGAAGCCATATTTTAAAAGTATGAAAATTCTATTACCTTTTCATAAACATCTTGGGACATGAACAGATATCTACAGGCTTATGAAGAAGGTAATAACACTTCTGCATGTTTCATAAAATTGATATAATTATAAATAAATCCATCCACACATGTAGTTTGGAGTTAGAAATATTTCTTTTTATACTTATGAAACTGCCTTTTCTTGGTAGGTTCTAAATAGGGCTATATTGCTCATGGATGTATTTGTTCACACACTACTGGTAAACACGTTCATCACTGCATGCTAAACTATGCCTTGAAACAGGTGAGAAAAGTCTGGTCCCACACACCATGTGTGGATCCCAAGGCTATTTCCTCTTAATTCTCCTTTTCATGAGTGACTTTGGAAAAATCCTTCCTCAAGGCCTCCAGGAGTGGTGGGTTTTATGTAAAACAGAGCAGAGGGATGCTCCAAACCCACCCACTCCAAATCCTGAAATCAAAACTAAAATGCCTGCCTAGGCTGTTCTAGTTTTGATCAATGGATTTTATTTTGTATTTGTATTTTTTCCCCTTTCCAGTTTTGGTGCATCATGCCATGGGTGCTGAACCCAAAATTCAGACCCTTATAACTGTCAAAGTTGCCCACTCTTACTTTAAAACTTACTCCTATGCTTTCCACTTTTCCTTGTCTCAGAAACATCTAATCTTCCCAATGAATTGGAAGGATGGAACGCAAGGAAGAATATATATATATATTTAAATTGGCAGCATCTAGTGATGGTCCCTGACATTGCAGTCCATCAAGTAAACTAGAATCAATGAGCATCTTTAACTTGGAAAATGTAAGGTGTGGAAATTGAGGACTCTGTTATGCTACTTCCTGTCTTCCATAGACACCAGCACTGAAGTGCAGAACTATTTTCTGGTCCATCCTTACAAGCTCTGGAGGAAGTCAGGACAACAAAAACACTTTATATCCTGGGTTCCCTGACAGGACTGCTCACTGATGTCTGTCCTAGCATCACTTTCTCTGAAATAACCAAATCATAAACTGGTTAGGGTTTTAAAGATCAAAACAGCTATTTGAAATGTTAATAAATACCATTTCTTTGGCACATTATACAGGCAGACCACCTTTTTCTGCACTTGCGGGAGCTGGTGAACCACAGCCAGACCTGCATTGTGGAGTGTATTACAATAATCTAACATGGAAGTCAACAAAGCAGTTAAGGCTTGAGGCCAAATCCCTCTCTTCCATCAGGTGCCATAGTTGGAGTATCTTCAGAAACATTAATTTTATTTATTTAAACTATTTTAAATCCACCTTTCCCTTTTAAAAGGATCCAAGGCAGCCTACACCAATTAAAAGACGGTATTTAAGCAAATAACACTGAGTATACAATACTAAAGGGATCAATTAATATAATACAAAAAAACATAAGCAACATCAAAACACATGCAATTCAGTAAGGTACAACAATTCATTTTTTAAAAAACCCACTGGGAAGCCATTCACTCAGGGAAAGCTCACCTGAAGAGAAAGGTCTTTGCCTTCTTGCAGAATGACAGTAGATATGGGGCCAGTCTAGATCCCTGTAGCAGCGAGTTCCAGAGTCTGGAACCAGCAAAAAAGGCTTTCTCCTATGACCCCACCAAATGCGCCTGTGAAGGTGGTGGGACCAAGAGGAAAGCCTCTCCTGATGGTCTTAACACTCAAGCCGGCTCATAAAGGGAGATGTGGTCCCTGAGATAGCTTGGGCCCAAGCCATTTGGGGCTTTATAGGTTACTATAATAAAAATCATAATTAAAAGCACTCAGTGACCCCACCCAAAAATTAAGCAGGAAAATATCACCCACTTAAGAATATGATTCTTACCTGATTCTGGATGGGAATCTCTCCTCATATCCCCAACCAGTTAGATTATTCCCTACTATCATCAGTGTTAATTTATTCACCTTTGCCTCATTGACCACTTATCTTAGAAAAGGACCATTTTGCCTGATCAGGTTTCATGAAAAGGATAATTTGGGCTGAGGTAATCTGCTCAATGATGGCACTGAGACCACACTTCCTAGTAATATCTCCCAGTTATTTCAGGGATATCACACACAATCTCCAAGGATGACATTGTTTCCTTGAACCCATTTAACTGTGCAATAAGCATGCAATGGTTGCTATATTTGCCAGTATACCACCAAAATCTAATGGTGTGGTGGCACTTTACCCCAAAGCCGCCATTTATATTTAAAAGGAGGTGGCTGGGGAGTCCATGCCTTGTTTTCAAACTGAACTGTGCTTTCAGAAATACAGTTTAGCTTGAAAACAAGGCTGTACCACCAGAATTCATGTTGCCTGCTCCTGTTGTTGCTAAATAAGGACAGAGGATGAGTCCGGCTCTGATAAACACTACAACTCCCAAGTTGAACAGCAATCCTCTAGCATTCACCTCTGCCCTCTAGGAAGGAAAGGAACTATAACAAAGCACAACTTCCAAACCCCAGTCCCAAGAGGCAGTCCAGAAGAATATTATGCTCAACAACATCAACAGCTGTATTCTCAAAGGCTTTCATGGCTGGGATCTGATGGTTGCTGTGGGTTTTTCGGGCTCTTTAGCCATGTTCTGAAGGTTGTTCTTCCTGATGTTTCACCAGTCTCTGTGGCCGGCATCATCAGCGGAACAGGAGTGGGAACATGGACAGAATTCCTACTCCTGTTCCTGTGAAGATGCCAGCCACAGAGACTGGCGAAACGTCAGGAAGAACAACCTTCAGAACACAGCCAAAGAGCCTGAAAAACCCACAACAACAAACATTAACAACTCTTGAGAAGCCCAAAATATCCCACAATATTACAGACCTATTGTTTCTTTCCCTCAGCAAAACTCACAAACCAAATCAACCAGGTAACTTTGATTGTGAAGCCAGGCCTAGAAACCAGTTTGAAATACATCTAGTATACTGTCCTCATTTAGGTGTTTTATATTTGAATATGAAGGCTAGAATCCTATTGGTGTTCACATAGGGTTTGTGTAGCTAGCTGTGAACAGCTGCAGCTAATCTCAGTTGTGCAATCAGGCTTATATTCAGGCATGCCACAGAGATGCACTCCACCACCAGAAGGATTGTGACCAAGGCTCGATAAGGGGAAGACAGGGGCAACTGCTATAACTACCATGGCATCTCTCTTCTCAGCATTGTAGGGAAGCTGCTTGCCCGTGTTGTGCTGAAGAGAGTCCAGGTGGTTGCAGAGAGAGTCTATCCAGAATCACAGTGTGGATTTCAAGCTAATAGATCCACCACTGACATGGTATTCTCCCTC